TCTCTCTCTCTCTCTCTCTCTCTCTCTCTATCTATCTATCTTTCATTTCTGAAATGGCTTTACCTGGAATCCGACTATATTCCATCGCAGGTGAATCATCGCACGAGCTACGATCGAGTAGCACGAGCCGGCCGAGAGAGAAAGAGGGAAAGAAGGTTAGTCAGTCATCGAATCGCATCGCAGGCGAATATTCGTTTGCCAAGAACAGAATCCGCTAATAAGACCAAAGTATTTTCGTACGGACGGGAATTTGTGTGAAAGAAAGACGACGTTTCGTCGTCGTCTGAACCATCGCTTTCGATCGCTTCTACGCGTCCCATTTTTACGCGGCTCTCTGTATCGATTCCTATCGACGCTCGCACGCTTTCGTAGAAGATCTCGATAAGATCCTTTCCCTCGCGACGATAAGAAACTTATCTCGTCCTCTACGATGCAATAATTTTATCGCGAATTTCTTTTCGTTCTTTTCCTTTTCCTTTTCCAATTCAGACGTATGAAAGCGTCGCAACGCTGGCCAAGAGGCACGAAAAAAAAAAAGAAGAAAAAAAAAGAAACGCGTTGAGGCTAAAACACTGTTGACAGGTGTCACGACAAGGTAAAGAGAGAAGCTAGACAGACAGATTTGGCGTGAAAGCGATGGATGTCGGACCCGGTAGGCCGAATTATCGTTATGGCGGCTAATGGCTATTAATTAGATAAATGTTGGCTATATTAAGCGACGGTGGTGATGCTGGCCGCTGGTGGAAATAGCTCTCGGTCGCGGTGTAACACGCAGTTTCGTGTTGTTTCGTCTTTCTTGCCTGTTTTTCGTTTGTCAAACGCGAAATCCAGCGAGGGGGGAAACGCCTGTCGGCTGTGGACGCGGCTACGTTAGAACCACCGATCGTCGGTTCGCGATCGGTATCACGACCGAACGAGCGCCGCGATAAAAATGCAAGTACGTAACCTCGGCCCGATGCACTTGCCATGTCACTTCCTTCCTTTTACCTCCGCGTTAATCTGAACGTTGCCCGTCACGCGGATCGTTCGACCTCCACCGCGAGTCGCTCTCGGTAAAACGTATGTACATTGCCTACCGTGACCAACACTGTTGCACGCGTGTGTACACAGAGCGTGTGCAACGCAACGCAACTGCACACACCACCACCACAATTCGTAATCTCAACCAAGAGGAAACAGAGGCGAGAGATCGTCGCACTGTCTTCTAGATAGCACCAGACGACAATTTCAGCGAGGCAGCGGAAAGGCAGGAGAGAGAAAAGGGGGAAAAAAGAAAGAAACGAAACTTCCAGGAGAGATAAAGGAGAAGATAGAGGCGGCGCGCGATAAACGGCGGCGGCGACGGAAACGCGGGAGATTCGAAATGAAACGGGACAGCGCGGCGCGTGCCACGTAACAGAGTGCATTCGCAGAAGGAGCGTACTTCAAACTGGCGCCATGAGATTCGACGAGGACGGTAGGTAGGTGTGTATAACCTATAGTTATAATACCGGGTGGCCCGTGAAACAAGCGCGGCCCGGTGGCGCAGGCGCGGATCCCTCGGATGTCGTCGAAAGCTCGCCGACACGCAGACCAAGCTCCCACCTTGTCGTGAATTGCAACCACGCGAGTCCGCGAGTCGAATTAGACGCGCGCGGTACGCGCCACGGTCCTGATGCTGATCCACCGTTTTTACACGCTTCTCGACTCGCCTCTCTGCGCCGCTCCTCTATGAATCTTTTGAATCACGAGATTTGCCAAGAAAATCGCGTAGATGAACCAACGGGACGACGAATGCTCTGAGATAGGTTGCATCGATCAGCAGACAGCAAAAACGAGAGTTTCGTAATGTGCTCGAGGACCCGATAACTTCCAACACTCGTCGCAAGAACTCGATAAACTCGGTGCACACGATGTAAGACGACGTTGTTAAGAAAAATGTCAGTCCCAAAGTATTTTGGCCAAGGTGTAAATCGGCAAGGATACCTAAGCGCGGTAAAAATGTATGATTAGACGAAACTGTAAAACTGCGAGTGCTCCAAAGCTGGAGCTTGGTCTCTAGAAATTAAAGCTCGTGAAACCGTTTGTCCGTTATGTTTGTTGTACCTTTCTGTACTTAATTTTGCCACATTAACGTACTGTGAAAAAAGAAAAAAAAAAAGAAAAAGAAACGTCAAGCGGCAAAAAGAACCTACGGCAAGCTTTTAGCCAGTATTACGGCACATTTCTACGTCAATAAGTTCTCTTGTTCGAATAAAAGTTCCGTAAAATTGTATCGTACCAGGGTGGGCCAAAAGTTTCTTCCCGCCTATTATTTCTTTTTTTAATAAAACATCAAAATATAAGGAAAAAAACCTATTTTCATCAACTTTGAATTAACTTTAAGTTCAAACACGATTCTTTCATTATGCACTTTAATGTATAATATGTAAAACAAAAAAATTAGAAAAAATATATAAAGAGTTACAGATTTATTTTAGCAGCAAGTGATTTTCGGTCCACCCTGTATAATTTTTTAATTACATCTTACAACGTAACAACGTTGTGACGGTGTCTTCGATTACGTTCGGTTTCGAGACGTGTTTCACGTTCGAACGATAAAGAAAAATGCGTTTACGCATGGTTGTGAAATATATATATCGGCGTTCGTCGCGCGGACGGATATGTGCATTAAGTCGGGACGAATCGTTAAACGCTCGTC